CACATATATATATATATATATACATTAATCACATAGATATGCACAGGGAGACATATTCTGTCTGCTTTTCTTCCTCTTTCGTTGTACTTTTTGTCAATTTCATCATTAAATCGCCAAAATTTCTTCCTTCCTTGTCCACTTACAACTATTTAAGATCAACAAATATATCCAATAGCATGCCTCTTCCAATTACTTTCAGTTTCTTTTTTTTTGACGAAATGAAACTTCTCCTTTTGAATGATTTTGCAATTTGTTGTTCAATTTTAATCAATGAATTTTGCAATTTGTTGTTCAATTTTTTAATCAATGAATCTATCCATCACTCATATGTTTTCTTTTATAATGTTAATGTAATAGCATTCATTAATTATCATCAATCAATAGTATTACTGTTTATTGTGTAATCGAGAAAAAAAGAAACGGGATTATTTTTCTTATTGGATGCGTTATTTCTATTTTAGTGATATTAAATATTGATGTTGATCGTGAAAAATTCGCAAAAGAACATTTCAAAATTTTGAATTTAAAATATCGAAAGAAAAGTATAAATGGAACGTTGAGGAGAAAATTTATTTGTTTATTCGTTTTTTTTTGGGAGAGGAAGATTATAAATTTGTATATTTATTAATCTGTTTTCAGAGAGCGAGTGTCAAAATAAGGCGTTAACATGACAGGTGGAAGTCTTGATAGTCAAAGTTTTGACTCACCTCATCTTGGAATCAATAATCGTAAAGGGTCAACAACAGGTGCAAGGACATCACCAAATTATACCACTGGTAAAAATGGTTTCTCGGTTAGAGGTGCGAAAACATTAGGCTGGTATTTAACTGATGAATTGTTTCTGAGAAACAACGTTGCGCAACAGAATAAAGAAAAGAAAGAAACTGAATCGGAAAGTGAGTTATTTAAATTTTAGAAAAAAAAAGTGTAAAAAAGCGTAGATTTTTTAAATCTTCTTTTCAAAAACAAATACATCACCAAGAAGTTCTTATTTAAACTTTCCTGAAAATGCGATAATATATTTTGAGATTGCATTAATACCAATTCGTGCAACTGTCAACTGTACTGATTCTTCGTACATATCATCTCTTTATCACATCAGAGTGTCATTGTATTGTTAAACAATCATATTGATTTGAAAAAAGTTTCACGCTTCATATCGATTTTAAAATCATCTCATTATTTAATATCATTTTCTACTTATGTGTATCAGGGTTATTCATATAAAAGTTTGATATCCATTAGGATAAAAGGAGCTAAAATTCAAACAAAAATTCTCGGCACATAAATGGTCAGTAATTAATTATCTCACTAATGAACAAACAACACTAGCTGTTTGATTTGCTTCCCATATTTTCATATATAATCTTTAAGTAATAAGAATAATTTATTTTCAGTAATTCCCTTCCAGTTTCTCATTTCGAATTTTTTTTTTCACTATACTAATATATTGTTCACGTATAATGAAATGAAAAATAATTTGTTGAGAAATAATGACATTTAAATTTTCACGATTGTCAATTTAAACTACACATATTGTTAATTTAGTTGAAATTTTTTTCCTCTCTTTTTTACGCCTATCCATAGATAAATATTTATTAAAAATTTTAACCTTATAAAATTTTCACAATACATTAGAGAGAAGAATGTAACACCGAAGTGGCATATTTATTTTATCATCCATTTACATGACTATTTATAATTTTATTAAATTAGTAATTGCCATTGATGTACAGTAGCATAAATTTATTATCTGTAATGTATGCATGCTGTTTGCATATATTGCTTTATTAATTTTATAACTGTTATGTGAACTAATCCTTATCAATAAGTTAACTCATTAATTACATCAGTAATATGTATATAAAACATTATTTCATTTTGTGTACAATTGTAATTTTTGCCAAATGTTTTTTAAATAACAAAATTTTTGTCTCTTTTCTTTTCATATCTTTCTGTTCCTCTAATTTGTATGTATCGTATTATTCAAAAAAAATATGTTTATGTAATGGAAGTTATCTTTTTCTTTTTGAATTCATAACTAATTTGTTATTTTTCATTTTTGCTTTTTTTTTGATTCTATCCTTATCATCATCCATCCTTCCTTTCCTCACACTTTGATAGCTGTATTTTGTGCCCCTGTCAAAATAGTACATATTTCTTCTAGTTGATGCGTATCATCGTTACGCCCTTTTCAAGTCCATCAGATGGTTTAATTCATTGTCTTTTCCATTGCTTAAATTTTCCGATTTTTTTCTTTTAAATATATTTTAAGTATGAAATGATCATTATCTTTTAGTTATTTTCAATATTTCCATTCAGTTATCAAAATAATTTCCTTATAGAATTGTTTTTCAAAAGATTCAAAATAATTTTTTATGACTTGATTAGATTGAATTGAAAAAAAGTCGCTTTCAAAATTAGACAATTTTGTTGCACGAATAAAATTTTTAGAATGATTGAAAAGCATTATGTGATAGTTTGCCTTATCATGAAGTTGTTAAATTAAATTAACGAACGCATTGTGATTTAAGATTGGAATATAAAATTCTAAGTATGTGATGGTGCTGTACTTTCGATATTTTTACACGTTTCTTTTTTTTTTCGCACTTTGTTTACTTTTGTTAAATCTTTTTTCCTCGAATGAATGATTCATTTTAGCCTGGACATTATTTTCATCCTTTTTTTTCACTTTCTATTTCTTTTCATCTCTCTTTTAACTGTTTTCGAAATTGTTGCTGATCATTTATGTCTCAGTGATCAGATTAGACAGACGAAGTTTGAAGGATAGAACAAAGAGATTGTGTTATTTCAAAATAAATGAATTCTGGTGTTCAGTTTCTATTCTTTACGGTTTTCTGTTTTTTTTTTTGCTTTTTAATTTTGCTTCCAAATTCATTTATCCTTTTTGGATGAAATTGCAAAATTTAATCAGCAAAAAAAAAGATTTTGATAAATTTCAGTGGTGTTTTTCTATACGTCTCAAGTCTCATTTCATTCTTTTGTTCATAATTTTTAAGAGTTGATTTCTTCAAAAGATCTCATTTCAACATTTAATTTCAATTTCATTATAAACCATGCACATCATGTTTCTTTCATATCCTCATAGCGATGAGTTTGTTCTTATCATGCGTGCATAATGTGATATACTTATTGTAATTTTGATACACTGATCAAAAGAGTTAATGTAGTAAGCTGTAGTTTTTTTGTAAGAGATTGAATTAATAGGAATTGTTTCACTCATAAATATTTTTTATCAGTTTTAACCGTGTTGAAATACTTTTAAAAAATATTTTTGAAATATTCATATTTAAATTTCCAGTATCAGCAAAAAAAATTAGGCCATAATCTTTCCATTGTAAGCTGATGGAATATGTTTTAATTTAAAATTGACAGTTTTACTAACATGGCGTAATTAAAAGGATACCGAATTATGGTTGCTGAAATCTAATTGGAGGAATAATAGATATCCCGTAATTGGAAGCATTCAGCAACAACTTACATTTTTTAAATTAGAATCAATTATGGACAATTTCCAACTTGATATTATGAATTTATCATTATCATTATTAGCTATGATTTTTCTTGCTACCAGCTTACTGGCTGTTCGTTTTTATGTTGCTTCATTTTAGATGAAAACTATCATTTCTGATAGCGGTGTTGACGATTTCATAGTATTTATAAACTTATATGTTTATCGTACACCAACTCGCTACTTCTGCTGCTAAGGATGGTTACATCATCATTATCATTATTATCATCATTATGATAGTTTTCGTCTAAAATGAAGCAAGAAAAAAGTGAACATGATGATAATGATGATTATGGTGATGACGATAATGATGATGATGATGGTGATGATGGTGATGATGATGATGATGATGGTGATGATGATGATGGTGATGATGGTGATGGTGATGATGATGATGGTGATGATGATGATGATGATGATGATGATGATGATGATGACGATAATGATGATGATGACGATAATGATGATAGATCGCTAACGGTGTTATAATGGCTCCGTTCAAAGCATTAGCGGTTGAACGATCTTTTCTCAAACTAGGCTGATTCATGCAATTTTCTTGTGTCATCTTTCCATCTCTTTCAAGAATATTTTTAACTTGAAAAGGATTGGATGTCTTACTTAAAAGAAAATGTGTTTAAATTCACAATAAGCATCGTTCCAAAATTGTTTTTTTTTATTCCTCCAGTTAATTTGAAATATTGCGCTGAAGTTTTGGAAGTTATTTTATTCCTTAGCTATCCAGCAGTAAAATATGCATCAAAAATCGATACCATCTGTAGACTGATCAACAATTTCCTTGATATAATTCTAAAGTTTATGATTCCAAAAAAAATCTAATTGATTTTGTTACATTCTATCTTATGTGATTTTTTAGTAGAGTGTCCTTTTGCTATTCTCATCTTCCAACTTCCTCTCTCTACTTATTTTCTTTGTTTATCATTTCTTGTTTATTTTGATCATTCCATAGAATGTAACATTCTTAAGTTCGCCTATAACATTCACACCAATGAATTTTTTTTCTTTTTTTAAAATCCGTTCGCAATTATTTAAAAATATAAGTGGAAAAAGGAAAAGCAATTCATTTGTTATTAGAAATGAACAATTTCTTTCCTCCCTTTCACATCCTTAAAGAATTAATCTTGCAACTTCAAAAGAAATAAAATTTCTTTAAATGTTTTATTTTCAAAAAAACATTATACTAACGCAATTTTCTCCGAATTTTTTTTTCAAAATGGTTCATGATTTTATTGCCTTTACACATATGCGTTAATATAATGTTTATAATCCTAAATAGCCTAATAGATAAGCAAATTAAAGTAAATCATTAAGGAACGGTATTTTCATACTTTTTAATTGTTGAGAAAAAGTTATAAATAAATGGAATTTTTCACTTGCATTAGCTTAAAATTAAATTTATCTGCTTTTTAATGTAATTTAATGATATATTTCTGTTTGATTTCTCCTTGAATGCTTAGTTGGGTTGAAAGAAACTGCTCTTTTAAGAGTAAAAAATTAACCACAATAATTCTTTGATTTCTATAGTTTTATATATATCATCCATATTGAAATTTCATTTTTATGAAATATAAATTCCTGCACTGTTCCTGGAAGAGAATTACTTAACAACTAACTTTCAGTGAATTCGCAATCATTTCTCATTCCAATTTCGATGTTTTTCATTAATAATAATTCATAACTTCATGAAACATAGAATTGTTTTTTATATCAATGCATATTGGAGTCAAAAAAATGGAGAAAAATTTTTTTTTTACAGTTTTGAGGAAATTAAGCTTTATTTTCTGCTCAGACTATGAACACAAGGAATTCTCACTCTTTACCTTTTTTTGTATTGCTTTTAATTAGTTGAAGTAAATGTCTATTTTTGCGATAAATTCTTTAAAGAATGCCTTTTTTTTCATTTTTGCTTCAGTGAATTTTTTTTCGTTTTTTAGTTCATTTCTTCAAATTTTATTATTATTTTCTACTTTTTTCATTTTTATTTCATCAAGTTCCTGCAAATTTTATTTATTTTATTCGTAACTTTAATGGTCTTATCTAAATACCGTTATTTTAATAAATTTTTTTTCAGTGAAGGTAATTCAATCTGTTCATATCGCTATAATTGATCATTGCAAAGTTGCATTGTGTTTGCTAGTGATGGTTCTCTTTCCTCTTAAAAATTGGATTTGGAAAGGAGTGGAAGTGTTAATTAATAGTTGATATTGTGCAAATGATAAACTACAACTTTATACCAATGATTTGAACTCCAGAAAACTTAATCAATGATTGGGGGAGGAGAGTTATAAAGTTGACATAATGGAAACATATTCTGAAGACCAAATACATGTGATCATTAAAAGAGATTCCTATGCTGATTAACAGAAATAGTTTGATAGTCTTTTGAATTATAGTAACAATAATCTACCTTTCATTCTCTGCTCTTACCGTAATTTGATCTTAAGTATTATTCTGAAAGAGCTATTAGTTGACATCATTTCGGCATATTTTTATTTTTTTTAAACATCTAAATATAAATTTAGCAAAATCGAAGTAGATATTTTGCACTTTTTTTTGAATGGTATTGTTTTTCGTGATTCAAATTTATTTTTTCTATCAATTGACATTAAAAGTGTAATAGTTGTTGTGTATTGACTATGTGGCGAAATCTGATCTTACATTTCATATCGAAAAATTATGCTTTAATAGTTTATCATTATACATGTTAACTGTTACCTACTTATAGTTTCATCGCCATCATCACCATCGCAAACGACAATTGGAAGTACAGTGGTAGGGACGGCTGAAATAGAAGAAATAATGAATCGAGCATCGAGAAGTCGAGGTAACATACAAAATCGAAACTTACAAGCACAACAAAATGGCAACAATAATGATGGTGGAACAATGGACGATGATCGAAGACGAAAACGTTTTCGTCAGCGTATCAACAAGAAGAATTTAAATGCTAATATTGCAAGCAATAGTGGTTGTCGAATGGCTGGAAAGTTGGATACAAATAGTATGTGCTTGGTTCATCATTTTTTTACATGTTTTTAGTATTGTGTGATTTACTCTTCGTCATTTCTTTATTAAAGCACTTATTAGGAAAGATTAAAATTTTTCTTATATTTTTGATTTGAAAAACAATATTGAAGTGGAAATTGTAAATTCTAATTTGACTGTTAATTTATATAAAGAAAAATTTTAAGCTTTTTACGAAATCTGCAGCATATTTTTTGCTAGTTTTGATAAATAGAAATTATTAAAATTACCTTAGGATTTTCTGAATAAATTAAAGCAAATATTCTTACTGTTGAACTAAATTATTATTTTGAATGTATAATCCATAAAATCGGCTGATCATATGGGTTTTTGCAGGCGAATTGATACAGCAAGAACAAAAACAGCAGGAAATAACGACTGTGGATGGAAAGATGATGAAAACACCGAATGATTTTAAGGAGGCCTATTGGTTCGACAATTTCCATCGTTTAGTTTTTATTCTTTATGAGAAATTAATATGTAATTGCGGTCATTTAATTTTGTTTCAGGTATTATGATCCAAAAACTGATGGTTTCTATTATGATTCGAAAGGTTCCCGTGGCTGGCGTCGACGAAATCCCGCTCATGAAAAAAAACTTCAAGATAGAGTGATTTTTTTTTGCCATCAAAATTCCAATTTTTTTCTGAAAGATTTAAGTTTCATATCATAAAAAGAATGTCTAATGCAATTAATTTTAAAAATGTAGTAAATATCAACTTCTAGGATGGATTATCATGCTTATGGGCTGACTCAAATTTTGTTCCATGTGGTGGAAGCGATCTGTATGGATATCAGTATAACAATATCAGTCATTTTTCCCCTCATATTCAGTAAGTTCTTTTTGGATTTTTAATTACTATTATTAATGTAACTAACTGGAACAGTATGCTAAACAGCGTTTAAATTTATACTAAATCTGAGAAATTTTCAAATGTAGCAAGTATCATACAAAAGCACATGAATCAGATTTTTGCAGATATTATGATCCGGAAACTGATGGATACTATTTTGAAATGCCTTCCGTTGATGGCTGGAAGAAGCGACAGCCACATTCCATTAGCAACAATGTTATACCATCACTAACAGGTTACAGTAACAGTCGAATGATCGTAAATCCGAATGCACTTGCGGTGTCGCAGCCAAGCGTTGCTGATGGAATGAATGTACCACGAACATCTTATGGTGCTGCTCTAGCTCGAGGACAATTACCACCGTGCACTATTAGAACGAATAATGCTATTACGAGTACTTCTACAAATGTTAGTTTACACCTTAGTTCTAGTGATAAGTTTATTTCAGATTTCTTAAATTTAAACATTCTTAATATTCAAACTTTGAAAGTAGGAGAATTGTTTATGTGATCAAAGATTACTCACCTTACTGTTCATGTCAGTTTCTGTTAGTATATACTAAAATAAGGCTTTTTTTTTACAGATAAATAGAACATTGAAGGATACATTCTCAAACGCTGAGTTATCATTTTCAACACTCTCATCGAACGATGATTTTGGCGCTGCATCTTCAATGGTATATGTTTGTATTTCATATCTATTTGAAGATTCCAAAACGTTTTTATGCTTATTTTTAGTAAATTATATTTGGTGCACAAAATCTCAAGATTTCTTGAGGGTTATGAAATTTAATACTATTCGTATTTGATGAAGTAGCTTCTCCGTTAAAAAAAAATGATGTGAAAACCGTATTAATATTAATATGATTTTTGGTATAAGTTGAAAATTTAATAGCAGAAATATTTCTTTATGAAAAATTAATCTTAACGTTGTAGATTTGTCTGTTTTACATTCTTTTATGTTTATTAATGTTTATTTATAAGTTATAGATGTTATTTGATAAAACAGAATGGGATAAAAAAGGGAACAGCCAAGCAAATTGCAATACACAAAAACCTTTCTCGTATGCAGACATCGTTGCTTCACCATGTGATACAAGTACAACTGCTAATGTTGATGATATCGAGAACAGTCCTCCTCCTCCACAACAGATCATGGCAAGTTTTTTTCTTCTTGCTCTGCAGTTTATCATTTTTAACAACTGCATTCAAAATGATATATTATTCCAGTGCCTTCTTAAGTGTGAATTAAATTTTATCACTGAATTTATCACTTTTAACATTTTAAATAACTGAAATTAATAGATATTTTTATAGGATACCCATTATAAACGACCGGAAACATTGGACTTGCATAGTTTTACGGAAGAAAATGATGTTGGTAAAGCAACGAATGAACAAGACATAAAACGATCTGGATTGACTAATTTTAATGCAGATAAATTTATCGCTGATCTTCCATTCAAGTAAATTTTTTTGTGTGAATAGCGTAAATTAGTCATGCTATAAAGAAAGCTTTGAAGAAACAGACAGTCTTTTAAAAAAAATATATTTTGATTTTGGATGTCAAAGTACTTTTTATGGAATAATTTCAGTAGCACGGATCGAGTACTGCGAGACTTGGCAGCACTGAAAACACCATGTTCTTTGCCAGTTTGCAATATGGATTCTCCTCATACGCCATCATCATCATCTGTTATGAAAGGGTTGTATTCACCATTGGGAAAACCAAACCAGGAAATCGGTTCCTACAGTGCTATGTTAGCTTTGTTCAAATTTTGATTCAAGTTACTCGAAATTCTTACTTAAACTTTAATTCGCTATCGAGTCTTTCTGCCTTTTATTTAACTCGATTTTTTGAACTTCATATGTAGTTTCATTTGATTTGTACTAAAAACTGCATTTTAGTTGCGATATGGAGGTAGTGCTAAGTCAGATTTTAAGCTGTGCTGACGAGAAAGAATGGGTAACGGAGGAAGCCTCGGCAGGAACATCAAAATTGAATTTTTGGCGTAATTCTGGTTTGGTTGCTGGAGTTGCCGGTGTTTCTTGTGACAATGTATGAAGAACTAAAAATAACATAGAACATAAGACGATTGTCGCAGCAGTTACATTGTTTCAGAGCTAGAAGATTTTCATTAGTTTTTACTGGTTTTTAAAAAGCTTCTTCAGTTGAAGTCATAATAATTTCTAATTTTATATACTTGAGAGTAATTTTTAATTTTTTCAAACGAATTAAGCTTCTGTTTTCTTTTTTAGGCGTAGAAATTTGATTGTTTATTAGTGGTTGAGTATAATCATTGTGTACTCATTCACTTTTTTTTTGTTTTTTTCATAAACATTCTGTTGAAGTCCTTTTGAAATAATCACCACTGTTATCATCGTTATATTTACTCACGTTTATGTGAATATTTTAGGAAAATTAGGCGATATATACTTTTTTTTACATTGTCGCTTTGTTCTTTTTTTGTTCTTGTTCAGAGCTCTTTTATTTTGGTTAAAATTTAGTTAGAATAATTTTTATCATGCGTTATTAAGTTCAAATCTAAAAGTCTGTTACATTTCGGAACTGTTATCCGTATCGATTGATATGGATTTTCGGATTTTCGAAAGGAATTTTCTTTTTCTATAGGTCTACTTAGGCTATTTTTGTGCTACTTTTTTCGAATGTACAACATCCTTCTTTAGTCTGATTGTCTCTGTTCCTTAATCCACTCCTACCTTTCGTACCACTTATAACAAATTCTTCACTTTTCTTATTATATTACGCATCTTCCTCAGTTCCTTAGCACTAATGCCATTAGGCTTTTCATATTAGTTTATCTGTCTCACTTTTTAATATATTAATATTAAAAAGAGATCGTGCGCAATTAGAGAAGGTTATCTTGTTATCAATAATAATTAAGTCGTCTTGTTTTTTGAAGGCATTTCTATAAAATACTGCAGTTTGCTTGTATTTTCACTTGTCTCTGTTTCATTTCTATTCTCATGTGTTTGAATTTTTCAGAATTTTAGTTCTTTGTGGTTTTTTTAATTCTTTTCATTTCTATTTCTTGTTTTGTCACTCTTTGACATAATCCTTTTTTTGCCGTTGAGGCATTAAAAAAAGTAAAACATTCTACCCGTTTTGGCTTAATATCCCGGCAAACAGTTATGAATTTTTCTTTAAGAATAAATTTTAAATTTCCCATCTTTTTCTGAAAAAAAAAATGAAAAGAATTTGAACTTAAGAGAGCTTACATTTTTTAATAGATCTCTGTAGCAATGTGATTCTGCAATCTTATTTCACTGGAATTTTATTCTTGGATTACTTTGGCTGTATTCATAAAGTTTATTTGACTAATTCATAGTTTTTACACATATTACTTTCATTCTTCAAAATAGATACCCATTGAAAATAGATTTACTTCCTTTCTGAATGCTTGCTATTCCTTCAGTTTTGGAAAGCATCTTTTTTTGAAAGAATTACGAGAATGTTTTGATTTTTCCTACTAATTTAAGGTATAAATCTAATTTTTCGCCAAGTATAAAAGTGAAAAAAATTAGCAGATTTTGAAAATTAACAGATTTTTCCATCTATCTATTTTTTTTGACAAATGAGAAATTAGCAGGTTTTGAATTTATATGTAAATTCTTAATAGAATTCCACTTGCTGTAGAATCCATCTGCTTCTTCGAATGTAATTCTCTTTTGTTCATTGCAGTATTTATTTTTACGTGAGTCATTAACTATTATACTATGTACGTTCCAAAAAATGCATCGTTTTTTTCTGCTTTCTTCATTTAATCCAATTATTGTTCGATAGATTCCTTTCATGAATTTCTTTTTCGCCTATCAAAAAACTTGCGCACTAAGACATGAAAAAGGCATAAAACATATTTCTTAATGCATGCTGTTTTACGCACTGTGCTAATATATTCATAGAAATTTGAAACGCTCAATTCAGACCTTTTTTTCAAGAATTTCGAAACTGTAAAATGTGGCGAAAACGTTTAAAGAAATATTGCCAAAAATGCTTTAAATCAGATTATTTGTTGCTGTTATACTTCGATCTGAACGAGAATTATTAAAAGTTCTTGATGGTTAATAAGACAAAGAGTTGAAGTGTGGAAATAAGGGGCTACGAAATAAAAGTTTGGAAATTTTAAGAAATATATGAAAGCTTAAAAGAAGATCGTTGAAACGGGATATAAGGCTTGGCTAATTAAGCCTTATATTTTGACTATTGATACGAGTAATGAAAGGAAGCTTTTCCCATTCGACGAATTGATTATTTTGAATGTGTGAGACATAAGCAAAATGATCTTTAGGGCAAGTGGTCCATCTTCAGTGCTTAACTGTTAAAATTTGAACCTGTTATCAAGCTTGATGTCATGTTCAACGTTAGTCATTATCATTCCGTCAAGTATGTATATCATTTCATTCCATTCATAGATTACTGATAGATCTGAATTATTGCTGAAGTGCTGAAATGGAAGTTTGCATCATCTAGGAGAAAATGATCAAGGTTGCTACCTTTGACCCCATCACAATGTTCCAATATGCAATATAATTCCGAACATCGGTCATTATTTACACATTATTTTCCTTCCTTTGTTGACAATTCCAGTTTTTCTCTCAGGATTTGTTTGAAAAATCCATTTGAGATTCTTTTTTCTTCCATATCTTATCCATATAAATTGCAAACATTTATTCAATTTTCTCGCAAATAAATTAATCCAAATTAATTTAAGGTAAGTTAGTCCAAATTAATCTCTGATAAATTGATCCAAATTAAGCATCTTGAAAAAAAAAAAAACCAACTAATTTTATTGACTTTTTGAAAGGATTGTTGACAAAATGTTTCACGAAAATATTATTATCAATGAATGTTTGACATTCATGTTATTCGACATTTTTAATGTTGTCAACAAAATTACTGAATCCATAATGCATTGATGTTAATTTCATTTGCCTAATTTTAGCACTGAATCATAATTAATATTTATAAAGATAATTAACAAATGCTTGCATATCGTAATTGTATGATAAGATAATGGTAATATGAAATGAATGAAATATTTATTTAACATTTACGGAGAATGACCAATAACAATATATCATCACCATCGCCACCGTCATCATCATCATCATCATCACCACCATTATTATCATCATCACCATCACCACCATTATCACCACCACCATACAGTTCTCCTTCACTAGATGATAAAATAAAACTAACAAACTTGCCAGAATTCCAAAGTTATCCAGAATCAGTAGAATTGCTGCAGCAATCACAATATCTCTTATCACACTGTTTACAAAAATCTGACATACAGTCATCAACACCAATGGAACCAATATTTAAGCCCATTATGATGCCACAAGGTAATCATTTCTTTTATTCAAAATATTTAAAGATCTCTTCATTTCAATAATTCTTTCCTTAAAATAACATCCAAAATAGAAGAAATTTATATCAGTTTATACCCGAAACTAGCTTAACTCCTTTTTTTGTTCTTCAATTTTATGACTTTTTAGCAACATCATATCCTTATCAACAACAATCAGTACCTGATAAGCCAATAAATGTTATGATCAATTCTAATAATAGAGCTGAAGGAAATAGTTTTGCAAGAGATTATAGAATATGCAATTTTTGCAAACGTGGAATTATGACAAGGAAGAAGTATATGGTTGTTTTACTTATGTTTAATTTGGTATCTCAGCCGAGAAAAAGTGATTGACAAATATTTCGTGCAGTCTTTTTCTGTCAATTCTTATCTTTTTGTTTAAGCGCGTTAATTCTGATTGTTCTAAACAAATGTAATAATAGCGGTGATTTTTCAGAGATTGGCTAAGAGTCGCAGCAATTTTATTTGTGAGTATGCTCTGTCCACCGCTTTCATTTTTGTGTTGCTTTTTTTTATGCACTCGTATGATCTATTATGGAGAATGTTCCGCTTGTCATCGTATTTCAAAAAAAGAACATAGGTAAGTATTTTCAATACTTTCATTTATTAAATTTGAGGAGGCTCTGAAGTAGATCTAATTTCACCGAATCTTCCCACTTATTTTCAAAGCTCAGTTTCACGAATGGCAATTTAATTTGACTATTAGATCCTTTTCTTTTCCCGCAATTTCGTTTGATCTAGATTTTAAATCTCTGTTACATGGATAGTGATGACACTGAAGATTAGATTACGTCAAGTCTGAATAAATTTTTTCACTTTTTCTAAATTTCCTTTATGCCGAAAGAAAAGTTTAGATAATTAGATTGTTGCATGTGAAAAATAAATGCTGGAACTGTGTATAGAAAAAAGCTTGCAGGGTATTTTGAACAGAACCAGAAGAATAATTATTCGGCATCAAGAAATTATTAGATTTTCCTCTGTATTTGGAACAGATTCATTCATGTAGAGTAAGAGACAAAGTAATGTTCATAAATTATTTTCGCTAAGTTTTAAATTCGTATATATTTGTCGTTACTGTTTTATAAATTATCTGAGTAAAATTTTTCCATTTGGTCTCATAATTTCCAAAACTTATTTGAGGCAAGCTAGCAAATCCCATACAAGATAACCCTCATTTTTGTACCCAGTGATTCCATCATGAGAAATGTGAAAATTTAACAAATGATTTTTAAGTAGCAAATACGCAGTGTAGAAGAGTTCTGAAAAAATTTTGATGATTCATTCAAAACCACCTAAATACTCAATGCTGATGGTACCGGCCAATCTAAAACAAGTGTTCCATTCAATAAAACTCAAAAATCAGATAAAAACATCCCGCTTTACAGTGACCACTGATGAATGCAATATTTAATCTTTCCACCTCTATCTTCTACGGGAATTAGTATCCTTAGATGTCCTGTAATCACCCAATTCCAAAATTTCCGACTCCAAAGACACCAAAATAAAAGTAAATGGTGATTCATTTCGTAACATAACGAAATATTTTTAACAAAAGATTGGAACACAAATACACGAAATATATATTAACTTGCTTTGAAGCGTTTGGCGTCAGTTTCGTTTTGTGAATCCGTTGACAATGCTCCTAGGACTGGTGCAGTTCCTGGAAAGCTTAAGGAACCACTAGACGATTCTGCAGTACTTCGATGAGGTGGAATCGGAGGGATACTAGATGGTGATGTAAAAGCAGGCCGCTGGCTAATTCCTGACGCTGAATCTTCCGTTGCTGTCAAATCTTGATTGTTTATAGATGAGCCCTGTGCAGATTTTTCAATACCAGTATTTGTCATTGCATCGTCTTCTGCTGATATTTCATTTCCACCAAAATTAAATTGCTAAAAAAATTTAGCAGTGATGAATGACAGAACATCACGTTCTATATTTTAAAACTATAAAATTATCGAATTTATATTTTGCAGAATTTATATTATCGAATTGATTTTTTTTTCCAAATACTTCAATTTACTATAAAACTATAATAACAGTTCAGAAGATTGGTAATAAATCTAAAAACTTGACAAGGAAAGATATTGAAATATAAAAGCGTACAACATCATCGGGAGGTGGAAATTTGGCAAAAAGTTCCCGCAATATCTGATCGGTTCGAGTTCTTTGATAAAAAGTACTTCGGGCAAGCTGTGGTTTTTCTTCTTCTTCCACTGCCTGAAACAATCATTTTGAATACAAGACTGTTTAAAAGATCATGCGACAGAAATAAATTCTTGCACTTAATAACTTACTTTCTTCACAACTTCACCATTAGAATCTTTGAATTCCCAATAATAGCCTTTAGCAATATTGAATCTGAAAATATTCCAAAATTCATAATCTGCAGAAATGGTGGCAGTATATAAATATATAAATTCAAATAATTAACTTTGATACTACTATTTGTGAATAAGTAAACGAAAAGCAACAGAAATGATAAAAACTGCTATAACGAAATAAATAAGAAAAATACCTATTGAAATTTCGAGCTTGTTCAAGCGCTTGCCGAAGTGGATCAACAATACTAATCAGTTTTGACTGAACATATGTATAAATATCCGGACATTGATACACTGTTCCATTTACTATGTAGTAATAAGCCAGAGGTGTAACTTAAAGAATTACTGTAGTGGTGAATATTTACTACAATATATTTTTGAATTTAATAAGATTTGCTAAAAATAATCGCGTTATAGCAAAATGCATAATAATGATATCAATCAAGCATGATTACCATTTGTAGGACTGTTCCGACGTTGTTTCATTATTACATATAATGGAGGGAATGTGCCAACAACTGTATACTGGATACCTTGCATAGATCTAAAGAAACACAAAATTCAATTTTCTTATTGATTAATTTGCATCCAGATCTTAGAATTAAAAGCAAATCACTTATAATAAACCAGGTCATTTAATGCAACATATTAAGGATCACAAACTACCGGATATCGTAGCGTCCTATATAAAAGCTTATATTATCAACAATCGAATCTCATCGCTTAAGTCTGATTAGCCTTTTTGATAATTTAAACAATTTCGGTTTTGACAATTCGAACTACCAAAAAGTGACATTCGGCAGGGCAGTACTTGATGTAAAGTCCATTTTTTTCTTCCCCAAACCGGAAAAGTAAAATAAGTTAAAAGACAAGTTTTATCATCGTATTAAAAATAAAATCTTAGATTTCGACTTACTGTAAACACTCGTGCAAAGGTCGATTGAGATTTTGCATTCTGATATGTTGATTGCATGAAGAAACATCGTAAAAAACATTTCCCGGATCGCAAAAATAATCCAAAACGTTATCAGGAGTTATAAAATTTGGAGGCCAATTCGGATTTTTGAATGACTGGTGAAGCATGGAAACGGTTTGCTGATAAGCAGAACCAGGTTGAGAAGCAACATTTGGTACACCCATGTAGGCACCTATGAATAAAAATCTTCTTATTGAGATATGACATGAAAAAATTGACTAAATCGAAGGCACAATAATTGCAAAATTTCATTTCTTGTTGTCCACCAAGGAATTAATTCCTTCTAACTCATTAAAGGCAAGGAAAAATGTCTGTTAATGGTCATCAAGAAATGGAGACCTCAGTTTTATTCCAGGGAACAGTGATTGATTGATATCGAACTATAGTTTTGTGCGGTTTTTACACTCTAGCAACTGGTAACCTTTTAAAATTAATAACTGCCGGAAAATGTAGGCAAAATTTTAGGTACACTGAAAAACAATTAAGTATTCAATAATTTTTCGCATTTACTACGCGTCCTACTTCAATGATTAATTTAATAAAAATTGCAGTGGTATGATGTACAACCTATGCCAAATGAATTATCTTGAGTTCCTTTGAGATTCCTTTAAGAATTATGCCAAGATAAATGAGATATATACTTCAACCCAATGATTAGGCATACTACACATGCCTAGTTATAGGACAAAATTTGGAACAGTAAAAAATCCCATGCAGGGTCAAGAAACCTACCAATATAGAAAAATAATGTAAACAGTTGATTACAAAATACCTTGTGATTGCCCCATCATAACAGATCGCCCCGGTCCACCTGTCTGCATCATTTTTCTTACCTGCAATATTACCAGTTTATTAAAGAAATAAAACACACCAACCGAACTAATTTTTTAATATCTTTTCGTCTTCTTATGAATTCAATGGCTCACATGCGTAACTCAATATTGTTGTCTAGGCAAATAACCGACATAATATTGGACACAAAAAAGATTATCATTTATTCAGAAAATAATCGTCAAACACAAACAAATGAAACAAAAAACATTTTAAACCTCACTTATTTGTTAATTATGTCACTCCTATGCTTCATTACTATGACATTTCATGATATTAATTTTTGAAGATATTAAAAACAACTCTAAATTGAGTTTGTTTTTCATCATTTCTCTATTGAATGTTCCATCAATTCTAATGTCCTGGAAAATAATTATAACATATCGAAGCGATAAATAAAATAAAACATTTGTTATATTGCAGGTGGCCGATTTCTAAAGTTCAAAATTTTTAGAAACGATTGTCCCTGTAGTGAACAGTTCCGGACTAAATTTACAGAAGCCTTAATTTTCTTTACTGTCGGACACATATTTAAAACCTTATAGATATTAAAAACGTTTCTAAATTGAGTTTGTTTTTCATTATTTCTCTATTGAACGTTCCATCAATATCATTAGTTCATTAGTCAAAATTTAGCAACATAATCGAAATTCAAATAATCACATGGCTCGATTGTTTCATCTCTTCCAAGCAATAAATCCCAGTGTAAATGTGAACTGTGTGATATTCCTGGAGGCGCACGGTTTATCTGAGATGCTGCTCTCAATTCTCTGAAAAAAAGGTGATTTTCAAAGATATTTTTAATATGCATTACAAACTTTATGAAATCAAATCATAAAATTTAGATTAACCTCCAGCCCAAGCGGAAAATTAAGAAAACGAAATAACAATTTCAGTTTCTCTTTTAAAAGTATGAGTTAAACAAGTCTTGAACACCGCATCTCAACAGAATCAGAGACTGCTTAAGGCAAAACTACTAAATTATAAGAAGTGCGGAATCATTTTATGAAGCACTATTAATAGTTTTGCAGGGAAAATGGCATAAGTCAACCAAGCTGTTAAGATATTTATTAGAGTAGCTTCCAATGCTAGATCTTGCAGGAATCAATAAAAGTATCTCAAGAAGACTTCACCTACCTTATGAAATGCTCAGCATGTGCATTTCCACCAATTATACGACGTTCAGTGACAACATTTGCAATAGTTTTGCGCATTCGCGAATGTTCACTTAACAGTTCATGATCGTTCCGGTTTGTCACCAAATCTGCAAAATAAAATATGCATATATTTCCTGCATGAGTCTGCCTTCTAATTATAACCAAGACAGCAACACAACATATTCATTTTATATTAAAAAAACATAAAACTTCCGAATCTATTGATTCCATCACAGAATTAAAATTTCGCTCCTGCAAAAGCTACTTAAACCAATAGATTATCTGGAATCTGTCTGGTGCTACTGTCTATTTTTTTGCCCCTGCCTAGCAGAAAGAATCGAAGAAAAAAAGAAGCGAACAGGTTTAAATTTTGTTATAATCATCATCGAATAAAAAATACTTTCCCTTAATCGAATAATTAAAGTTATTAACAACTTTCAAATACCAGTAGTAAGTATATGACTAAGTAAGATGAATAGTATAGAAATGATGAAAAAATTGAGGGAAAACTGTAATACAGCTAGAAATATATTTTCATTCGTTAAAATAGTTGAAAAAGTTATTATACTATAACCTTATTATTTTTCGACTCAACTAAATCTAGAAAAGATTTTTACAATTACACCTTATGCCTGATAAAAAAACATTTTCATAACACTTTTTCAATCACATTTTTTAGTTTTGAAACATCTAAGTTAGTATATAATTAATCAACAAATGATGTTATTTTCTGGAGTTACCAATTCGTTGATATTTGTAAAGGATTACTTACGAAAGCAGCAAACAAAGAATAAATAAAAAACTAAAATATCTTTCGATATAAAAAACTGAACATTTTGAAAACTAACGTTTAGGTGCTTCCAAATCTTTCTTATACACAACTGCAGCCTCATTCAGTGGTTTGGTATCGTTAAGTGGGACCAAATGTGATACGCGTCTTGAACTGTCAAGCATTAATAGATCTGGTTGCACTTTTGATAACAAATCTCCTGACATCTTTCTAAAAAATTACAAACCTTACTTTACTTATAGCAATAAATGCTTTACTCATTTCTGAGCATAAATTTTTCCAGTACTGAAGAGAGAATTTAACTCATAACATTAAAGCACGAAATGATAATTGATGCATTAAATCATGGTATTCTTCATGATACAGTAACAGAATCACGCTACCGGCGGTATTTTACCTGGAAAGCCTCTAAAGGATTAGAAAATAATGAAAAATAATGAAAGGAAATAAAGTGCGAATTTTGAATATAGTAAAATAAAATGAAAAAGGATTTAGACTACAGTTCTTGTATTCAACAAGAACTTAAACCATTACTATGGCATATTACCAACACTATCAAAACAATACAGTAATGAGTGATCAATGTGCAGGCAATATCGAAACACAGAAAGACGAGAACTACAGTGATCTTCAAATGGATGTACAAAATGTTAATTTGCAAATGTCTGGAACTTTGAACAATGTGCATTCTTTCATCCATCTTCATAAGGATAGCTTTCCACGGATACATAACTTTCAAAAGAAAAACAGAAAGAAGAAAAAAGGTAAAGCATGAAAATACCCATTACAATAATAGATTATTGTTTGCAAATCAACGATAATCTATTATTGTAATGGATCTTTCCATCAATATATAAAACACTTCAATAAAATATATGTTAAAAAACAATAAAATTTGAAAGAGAGTAAACAAAGAGATAAACTGAAACAATGAGAGAAACATATAATGTTCATCACTCGTCAATATCTAATTAAATGCACACAGTAATGTGTGATCTTTTGTAACAAAATAAATTAACTCTCTTCTTTCAATCAATAACTTCTATTCCAATAATGCATCCGAAAGACTTACAATACCAACACAAAAAAAAAACATATATATGTGACACTTTGCTTTTCACTATGACCAAGCAGTCACATCAAAATTTCTTTGGAAGACAATGATAGCAATGGTTGGCTGATTGCGAAAATATTAATCCCATCGATGAAATTGTGGGAGTGTAAAATATCTGAATTGTCTCTCCTTGCTTTGTTTATTGTTTGTGATGATTTCGGTGTTTTTTTCGCATATTCTCGTTTCAATAGTTCGTTTCAATAAAAAGAGTGAACCGAAAAGATCGATAATGTTATTAATGTTATTGCTTAATTCCGTGGTGCTTTTCGTTGCTAACAATTATCGAACATTACGAGCGATCCTCGGCTTCATTTGATTTATTGGTGCGGTTCTGTTGATTTTTATTACTGCCAATTGATTTTTATTTTTTTGATTTTTCTTTTTTTCTTTGTTTTTGATTTAAATAATATTTTGAAAAGATACAGATTTTTTTAAAAATTTTTTTAAAAAATTATTTTGATATTTTCTATTAGTTAGTTTTGTTATTTATTCATTTATTTTATATGGAGTTATGCAAGTTTAGTTTTTTGGGTTTCTGAAAAAATTGATCCTTTGGTTTTTTAGTTGAATATTCTTTGGTTGAATAGTACTCATTAAAGGTTTCAGTATAGTATTTTTTCGAAAGTTTATTGCTTTTTGTTATTTTTTGGACGATGGGTTATTGCTTTTGTTTTTTAACCTTTGGATTTGTGTAGGTTTTTTTATAACTAATTTTTCTTCAATTATTGTTCGTGCTTTAACTGTTTATAGATTTTTGTTTTGTTTTTTGAAGGATTTTGTGTTTCTAATTTGGTGATGCTTTTTTCTCATTGATTAAATATAAAGGATTTCATATCAAAATTAATGTAAATAACAGTGGCAATGATTCATGCATTATTCAAAAAATTTTGACTTCATTGCTCAGCAGCAGAAGTTACTTTTTGCATATCATTTATGCGGATATTTCAATAATTCTCCATGTAGTACTTGATGATCAAATCAGATATGCACAAATATAAGTATTTTGAGTTTCATGCGAAGTTGAAACTCAGAAAAGTTGAAAATCGCTGAGCAAAATGTTCGATGCAGTCCACTTCATCTTTCCTTATTTTATTATAAATTCTCAAAATAAAGGACAAAAATATTGTCATTCTGAAGTGAGCACTAAATTATGGTAAAAATAATAAGTGAAAACGATAGTGTAAACTGAAAAATAAATACAGTGTACCGTATGTGTTTCCCAAATTTGAAAATCAAATTTAAATTGCTACGCTGTACAAATGAACTGAGAAATGCCGTAATCTGCAAGGCGTGAACATGATATTTCCATCAAGTTAACGTAAAATTTCGAATTATGTACCATAATAGCGTCATATATCCTTGGAATACTATATAAGTAATGTTTGCTCCAATTTATCTTCAACTGAGTTATGCTTGTAATTCATCATCCCAATCATACGGCTCGTCCATTTTCACACCGTAATTTTTCATTGCTAATTGAAGCATTTGTGTTAAAAATTTGTGATCCGGTTGACTATGGTATGTTAAAGAATCGATGTAATTTAGGATACGTCGAAATTCAACCTATAAACAATATATGACTGTTAATTTTATCAATAATATAATTCCCGATAGAAATTTTCTAGTTTGAAAAGATTATACAACGTTTAACATATATAATTTTCTTCATTAAACTAATCATAAATAATTGGTAAATAAAGAATGGAAAAGAATTGAATGAATGAATTTGAGCTATATAGAAATTATTGTATAAAAATATTGAAGAGAAATAAACAACAAAAAATTCAGCTTTTTTTTTAATTTTAAAAATAGTAACCTTAGGACAATCTTTGAGCAGTATTTTAAGTTCATCTGATGAACGACACTGCTCCTTCTTACACTCTATTTCCTTACGATCCGTTCGATGAATGTTACTCCATGGAAGTTCACCTGAAACATTACAGTTGAGCAGAGTAGAACTTTAATGCTTTTAGTTTGCAGTGGAATTCGATTTTTTTTTGATACTACAAAAAAAGTTTTTATTTTGATAAGCTTTTCCTTTTCTGTCTTTTATTCTTAATTTCCATACCAGAAATCATTTCAATAAGCATATAGAACCAGGATTCAAGATCATCTTTTGGTGATATTTCCTCTTCTCGATGTGCTGCCAATGATGCATAACGTGTAGTCCCTCTGTAAACTGTTCAGTAATTTTGTTAAGATTCTTATTTTCAATCATGCAAACCAAAGCTAAAAATTTTAGATAGTTAAAATAATTTTAAACTGATTCATTTAAATCAAGCATTCTTTTATCATTGTCTTGGTATAATTATAACTTTCAGTCTCAGAAATTCTCATTGTATTTATTTCTATAAAAAGCTTAAATTTCACAATAAAATCGAGAAATTTAACCTGAATGAAGTTTTACTCCTAGGTGGTATAATTCCATCTTTGGGATTTCGATACATTCGACAAAGCCCAAAATCAATTATATACACATTCATCTTTGATTCAGAGGGATCACTGATTGCGAAATTTGATGCCTAAGATTTTTGAAAATGACTTGCTCTAAAAGCTGTATTTTTCATTCAAAACAATTCAATGTTTTAAATTTTAAACTCAAAAAAAGTCATCTTAAATTTCCAAACTCAAAAAAAAAATCATCTTGAATTTCCAAAATTAGAACATAAAAGCAAACATTTCGATACGTGAAGTTTTTTTAATTTTTAATTTAACTGAGTCGTAATTATGACTGTTACAATTGAAGATAATGATATATGAAAGACGAACTTTGACATCTCTGTGAACAAATCCCATCGAATGCAATTCCTCCAATGCAGCTAATGCTTGAATTCCAAGTCGAAGTGAAGTTGACAATGAGAAATGACATTCAACAAATGCTCGTCGTAATTTGTGCAAATTATCACCGAGCTAAATGTAACTTTTGAAGGAAAATGAGGAAGATCGGTATGTAATTTATACAGCTTACAATGAAGCTATTTCCCTCAGCAATTTATATGATATTAAAAAAAGGAAAATAAATATTAAGAAAAACCAAGGAATGCTAACTCTCAATTAACTAAATTTATTTAATTTAGTCCATATAAGTTAAATATTTATATGTTTCTATTGTATTCAAGAAATCATAGCTATTTAGGAAGGACAGAATATTTTTAGCAAATGACCATTTTCATGATGATGAATTTGAAATGTCCTTCGATTTTACCCTGATCAATCAGGTTTGGAATATGTTCACATGTCACTTTTGAAGCTTGAAGTAGGACAATATAATCCATATTCAATCCGTGAGAATGCTCATTACATATTTCTAACTTTGCTGCAAAACGTTTTCCATCTGTACGCCTTAGTACCTACAAAAGAAATTATTTCTGCATTTATAAAAAAGTTCATAGAATATACTATAAAATTTTCGAAATCTAAAAAAAAAAACTCAACATTATTTTAATAAACTTAACAATTATTTCAATGTTTTTAACATTTCACAATTTTCTTTTCAATCATATCAGTAATTATAAAATGAGCAATTCAAATTTCATATTTACCTCATATACCGCACCAAATCGTCCATGGGAAATTAATCGACCAATGGCGAATTCAAAATTCCTTCCTTTGATCAAAACATTTTTGCTAGGTAATCGACTTGTAATATAGTCCTGATCCTTATCGCAACTTCCCTCTCGTGAATCAACATTTTCCGAATTCATTCTACAATAATTATTATAGGAAATTAAAATAGCTAATATGATAGAACAAATGTCGCGAGAATGGCCTTAAAAACTTATAAAAAAAACAAAAAAAGTGTTTTAAAATGGTGATGAATAACTTAATAATGATAAATATTTCAGTACTAGAATAATTAGATTTAACAGAAATGCTAAATTGAAATATTTTTAAGAAGACTTCTTGAAAAAAAATTAAGTGCTTGAGTGTGCTAAAAAAAGTGGTTTTAACCAAATAAGCCATATGTACTTTTGAAATCAAAATTTGGATTCATTGCTTTCAAAAGATTTTTCTCTTACAAATTATTATCAGTGTTAATTATTAAATTGATCAATAAGATTTCAAAAAAAGCGAATAGCAAACTTAATAAAAATATTTTTTAATAATGAATTTGTTATTTCAAATTATTGAGTGCAGCATTGTTTATGAGCACAGAAAAGTGGAGCGTTGTATTCAGAGAAAAGCTTTGCGAGAATTTCAGATCAGATAAATAGTTAAATGAAAAATTAAGAATTGTCAGAGTACAGACGAATTAAACTTCAGATTTTTACAACTTGTAAAGATTATCAAATCGATGGGGAAAATGTAAATCATCTTTTAGAAATTCGTCAGAAAATTATTTTCTTCTCAAAACAACGTCAGCAATGCATATAATTTCAACAATTTTCATTCTTAAAGCTCAAATATGATTTCTTCACTTCCCAATTAAATTCCAAAAAAAAGAAAAAAAAGAAATGAATCAACAGCTTAAATGCAATGAATCAGATTGATTGTTACATTTTTTTGCATATACTTCTGCCTCTTCTCTTCTCTTTCTTTCCCAATCAGATTTAATCATTTTACTTTGACTAATATCAATGGAAGAAACTGAAAAAAAAGAAAGTAAAAAATTGGATGTTAAATAAAACAAGAAATAGAACCAATCGATCGGTTAAATTTAAGCTAACCGCTAATCAATCTAATCGATTAAGCATTCAACTCATTTCTCTGCTTTTTCTTCTCTATCTTATATTTTTTAAAACTTTTATTTGCCTTCTTGATTGTTTACACGATATTTCATGCATAAGCTATTTGAGATGAAAACTTATCTTACTCTCATCATTGTTACTGTTAAATGATGTTGTTAGAATTCCTCGGTATAGCTTTATCACTGAGACAGTGTAATAAAAATTTTTATAATGTGATGGATCGCAAATTAGAGATGACGTTTATAATTTGGAAAAAAAAAGAAATTACAAATTAAAGATGTTAATAACATGATCGCGTGGTACTTGAAAAATTAGAGGAACCAGCGATTATAATTTGAGATAGAAAAGAAGCTGAAAATCATAGGTAATAGTGATATAATTGAAAAATTGGAGGATACGAAGTACATTTCTTTTTTTTTTTATCACTAAAAATAGTGTAACAAAAATTAAATGAATAGCGATGATATTTAATGCAGTTACGAAAAAATTTTCCAAAAATTCTCAACAGATGTTAACATTTAACATTAGCTATATATTTAGCACAAAATTATCTTCAATTTAGAAAATTTTAATTTTAATTAAAACTAAATTAATATTTTACAATTCCTAACAATGATAACAATATTCTTTCAGACTTTTTTATTTCATTTTCTAGAAACGGTAAAGTGGAAAAATTAAAAATAACAGGATTGAAATGGCCACGAAGTTCGTTGTGCAAAATAGATCACTTGAATTCAAATAATAAACAACTATGAAATAGTTTAACAGGTTAACATCAGTGAAGAATTAGAACAACTTTTCATCCATGCTAACTTCTCTTCTTCTCGTACTGCTCCATCGTTGTGTTTTACGATGAGTGAAATTTTTGCAGCAACATTCTTTCCTCTGTTTACCTTTCCCACTGGCTTATCTCTATTTCCTCTTTTCATACTGAAGTAGAATTTTGGAAGTGTTCATTTTTGATACAAATACTTATTTTTCATAAAATGGAAAATATTTCCATAAAATGTTATTATTCCTATAAAAAATTATATCCATAAAATGACCGTTTCAGTTAAGCTTATCGCCGAGAATCACCGATTCCTCATTTATTTGCCTAATTCTGAAATAGTTTTTCTGTTGCTGTTTGATTCGTCATGTTTGTCGTCATGTTATCAAAATCCTGGTTTTTTTATTTTCTATTTTTTTAAATTACTATCGGGTTCATTTTAATTTAAAATTTTTGTGATTACATGCTAACAACCATCAATGACATTTTGAGAATTATTTACTGCTAATTGTTTCCTAAAAATTATTCTTTTCCAAAAATTTTTCCTAAAAAAAAATAAAAATTATTCGTCGAGAAATATAAAAGTATCTAATATTGATAAAGAAATATTTTAAATCAAAACAAATCACATCATCGATTGGTTTCGTATTTTATTTATATTTTCAATCTTCATATTTTATAAATTCTATCAAATAATTTAATTATCTATAAATCATCAAAAGAACAACAATTTTGCTAACGAATTGAAAAAAGTCACGTCTATCACTTCACTTTCTAAAATTGAAAAAAAAAAAATCTTGTTATATTATTTTTTCCTTACCCTTCAAGAATGGAATTTAAAAATGGAAGGAAAATGAAAGATTTCAAATTAACGATTATTTTCTTAAATAATTGAAAGTATCGTAATGAGTACAGTACGTATTTTAGAGATTAAAGTTTTCACGTATTACCAAATGTTGCCAGTCGTTCAGCTCATATATTTTAAATTATCTGTGAGATAGCTTATCGATTAGGATCAGAAATTTATTTTGGATGAATGATCCGACAATATTTAGGTATGTTAATGTTGATCTTAATTAGATGAGAAATAATATGCTGGCTGATTCTGTGTTAACAATAATCAATAGAACCTCTCGTAAATTAGTTTTGATCAAAAATTAAGAAATCGGCAACTTCAAAGATAAATGTAATATTCAACGACATTTAAAAAAACTTCTCAGTTTATACTTTATGTCCCTTACGTTGTTAAAAATGTAAACTTCACAATAAAATGTCATAATGCTGTAAAGTGGAAAATAAACTCACATGCAATAATTTTATTAATTCCAAATAAATTTTCAGAAAAGTCTAAAACAGAAAACAAATCATGCATTTAGAAGAAGCTAATTTTATTTGTATTTTTAAAAATTAAACTGTTAAATTTGATGCAGCGAACTGCCTTTAGTTTAATAAAAAAAATTTTTCAAAACTTTCAAAATTTCGAAATTTAAAGTTTAAACTAGCTAAATGAAGAAAAAAATTTTTTTTCATTGGGCATTTTATTTGAGATACACATCTCAAACTCTTTTAATATGCCGATAAAGAAGCAATATTTTATTGCTGAAATGAGATACTTTTCAAGTTAGCAAACAATTTATAATACAATGTAAATATCAAGCAAAATAAAAGCTAAGAATTTCAAAATATTCCAATGAAAAATTTTGGAAAATTTTTTAGAAATTAGAATTTTATGTCAGAATTAAAAAATATGTAAGCTTTCTCTTTTCTGCAAAATTGCTGAAGTAAATCATCGCATTCTTACTTTTGTTTTTCGTGACGAAGGTCTTAGTTGCATCGTGTTTGTCATAATTTTGCACCTTAAAAATCTCATACGTCATCTTTTTGTCAATTATTCAAAATTTTATTTTAAAATGTTTCATTATTTTAATTTTTTTTAAAACGTAACAAAAATCCATCTTTTTTGTTTCAAAATAATAATATGATGGAAAAAATTCCATCAATATGGTATTATTTAAATTTAATTTAATCTTTATTATAATTTTAAATTTTTTCAAAACGTAAAAAAATTCCACCTTCTTTATTGTCGTTATTGTAAAGAAACGAAAAAAAAAATGACAACTTCTCATTTCGGAGAAAATAAAATCAACTGTTATGATAATAAAACTTCCTATACAATAAATAAAATTTTATTAATTTCATTGAAGAATTCAAAATTAAGCATAAAAATTGAATAACGTCTGCAATTCCTATAAATTCAAATAAGCTCATTAAAATTGAAGCAAAATTAAATTTGTAATAAAGCATGAGTGAAATTTATTTTAATCATACTTAAAGAAATTTTTTTTTCTGGACAATTTCACTGCCTTTTTTTGGAGACGTCTAAAAAATCACTGATGCGCTGTTTAAATTCTTGGAATTTTTGAGAAATTGTATCGATATAAGAAGCAAATAATGGCGTTTCTGATGACGATGAATTCACCTGTTGTATGCATCCGCGCTTACCAAAACTGCCTAGCTACAATAAATTTTTCTTATTGAATTATAATTAGACATGCATAAAAAATTCAACCAAAATATTAAACAGTTAGCGATTGAGTTTCATATTTTGTTAAACATTCGAATTATCAATGACACTATTGATTTCGAGATTTTTAAAAAGTGCAATTTGACTTAGACTGATATCAACGATAACTTTGTTTATAACTTATAAGGAAGACATAAATTGTTTTTCTGAAAGAATTGAAAAAATCTAAATGAGACGTAAATTTTCCACTTCCTTGAATTGAACAACTAACTTTGATATTGAAATAATGCCGATGATCGTCGATATAGATATTGTAATCTTTGAAATCATACGTTAAACTATTGCTACAATTGAAATCTTCACTCGTTGGTTTACCTAAGCATACGTAATACTCCGCATCTTTCGCCATTCCATACGGATACCTGAAGGCATATGTAAAATTTGAAAACAATTGAAAATAATTCAACTTCCAAAAAAAAAAAAGAATTTCAAAAAGAAATCATACCAGATTTCAATTCCGTGATGATATGGTGAGCCACTCATTCCAGTTAAACACGGTTTACTTTTACGATTTCTGGCACCCGGTTGGCTTGCATTCTTCTTACATGGCAGTATATGTGGCACTAAATCTAAACGATGAACGAGACGAAAACTGAAATATCACTTTCATTCAAACGTCTTTAAAAAAGTGAAAATCAATGAGTTATCTTTTGCATTTCATCATTTTCTTTGATCAAACTATTTTAATCATAATGAATTTCTTGTTAATTTACAAAATTAAAAACATCCAAAGCTTTAAATCTGAAAATTTAAAGTATATAATTTTAACAAATTTCATTCTGGCTGTCATTTATTTATAAATAAATTTAACTAAAAAAAAGGTAATCAATTTTGAAAATGATCAACCTGAATGGAATGTGATCATTGTGATACATTGCATATTGATAGTCGCCAGTTCGCGGTTGACCAAAAGTAATAAGTTTAATTTTATCACCGGTTCGTAATTTTTTGATTACAGTACGAGTTGCCGCCAATGATGCTATTGCCCCTCCTACATTTGTACCATTTTATTTTGTTTATTAAAAAATTTGATCCATGAATTTGTTGAATTATTTCCCATTAATTATACATTGAGAACAATCATATCATAAATATTATAAATTATCATTTGTAAATTTTACTGGATGATCATTTATCAATAATCTTCAAATAGTTAAACTACTTCGCTAGTACAGTTATGATTAGATTTAATGATACGACTTGATTGATTTTTTTTTTGTTTATTTTACAAAAATATTAACTTACCAAGAGAATGACCAGTGAAAGTAACTGGATATGATTTAAATATCGGATCCTTGAGAACTAGCTCTATATTTGGCCAAACGTGCTCAAGCGCTTCGAAGAAATATCGATTAACCTTAGATAAATTGTAAACAATTTAATAAGGATTAGATCTACACTATTTCATTTCAATATTTTAATAAAAATTATAAGAATTAAAATATCTAAAAGTTTGTTGGAGAAATTAATATAAAAACGTAGATACAGTTTTGAATTAAGTTTAGAATTAATATATTGTAGATTCAAATTTTCGAAAATTTGATTAAAATTGCAATTTTTTCTGATTAATTCGTAAATGAAGAAATGTTTTTAAAAAATCATTTTAAGTTTAAATCTTTTAAAAATTAAATTCTAAAAAAAAATTACCATTCCAACACCGAAGAAATCTCTCATCGATTTCATCGATTGCCATCCTTGCGTAATTAATTGCTTTTTTGTCGTCGTACCTCGAAATACAATTATAATTTCTTTAATAATATCCGATCGTATTATATAGGATGAACAAGAATTTTGAAATATATCGCACATCGTACTCTCCGTACTATATACCAACCATTTCTGCCATTTCGGTAATGTGCTGTAGTAAATTTTTAAATTTTTAAAATAGATGTGATCAAAGATTTAAGATTGATTAGAAATACGCTTGCTTTTGTTTTTGTGAAATTTATATTTCTAATTAGTCTGAATTACTAATTACTAATTATTAAGCTATTTTCTATTTACAAAAAAAAAACGATGCTTAATAGATAAAATAATTATCTTAGCAACTGTTAAAATTCAAAAAATTTTTGATGTTCTATGAAAATAACTAATTTTTGTGGTTTTATTAACTTAATCATTACTTATTTTCTCTAAAGACAATAACATGAAATAGTAAAATTATGGGCAATTTTTTTTTGAATGAAATTATTGAAGCTGAAGTTTGTGCACTTAGTAAACTTACTTAATGACACATTTCTCGGGATCAGTGGAATAAGCACCAGCTGCTAGATTGACTAAAATTTTAGCTTCTGTTTCATTGTATTTGTTGACTAATATCCCATGAACTTCTTGGGCACATTCGATCAACAAATATACCACTATAAGTGTAGTAATCATATTATTTCCAGCCAGTAATTCATGCATATAAATATGAATACCTAAAAGTTACAATAGGAAAGGAAAAGCGGATACATTTACTAATTCCATAGTAAATTAATCCTCACTTCTGAATCATTCATTTAATGTATGACTCAAATTCCAAAATATTTCACTGAAAGCATTGAGCGAGATGGATAATAAAATTGTAGTAAAATGAGATGAACTTTGACTTATATCTGATGTCATTTAGTAAATTGAATTTGATTTCATTTGTTAAAATACTCTATCCAATGCTATTAATACTAAATGAAAGTCCGACATGCAATGGGATGAAATTTGACCTGTTGCCCTATATTTGATATTATTGCAGGTTAAATGTTGGCGTTAACAATATTAGCATAAAAGATACGGTGATGATTAAATGCTCTAGTAAAAGCGTTTCTTTTTTTTTTCAGAATTCAATAAATTAATGATCTGAAATGATTTTAAATTCTGCAAAATGAACAATTTCCATGAACTGAGTCGAAGAAATTCTTGCATAGTTTATCTCATCCCAAAAAAAATAAAAAAACTACATTATATTTTCTGTAGCAATGAATTACAGTCTTCCACGGTTGAGTTTAGAAAAGAAATTTTATTCATAGTCATTCCATTTGTTGAATTGATTTTAAATACAAACAGTTGGTTAAGGAAGAAAGAGTTTTTGGGTCAAATATTGAATTCATTTCAATTTATTACTTTCATTCACACAAGTACTTTGAAAGCACTTCGCAAGAAATTTGTGATTGTATGCAAACTGCAACTATTGAAGAAATTTAGCATTCTCATGCAATTTTGTTCGATTAAATAATATAATTTCAAAAGATCATTGAACGATAACAGTGCTTTATCATTTTAACAAAATGAATAGTTTAGTTTTTATAAACTGCAAAAATTTGCTAATAAATACAAATAATGCGAGATAATGAGAATTTTCTTACAATAATTTCTAAAGCTATTAAACAATTCATACTTGCTAAATTAATAATACCGCGTAATTTACGTCCGTACAACGTTCGATAACATATTAGCATTCATGAGAAAGAAATGGAGAAATTTTTTATCCAAAAATTATGTAAGAACGGGAGAAGTTTGAAATGGTTTACTTGCTACCACCATTAATCGTTTTCCTTTAATGATCATTTTATTTCTTAAATGATCTAATGTGGAAGCTGATAGCACATTCCGTTAAAAAAATCAGCTTCTTCAATTTAACTCATTCTTATTTAAAATTTAATTTGGATAAAAAAATTTTAATATAGAATCCTAAATGTGTGCAACTTGAAAGTATAAAGGTTAAAGAAGAAATAGATTTTAATTTGATTTTAATTTTATTAGTGTACCTTGTGTAAATTAAAGTCACTAATTAAATTAAAATCTAATCAAATTTTAATTTAATTAGATTTTAATTTAATTAGTGATTTTAATTTAATTAGTGTATATTGGCGTACCATTAAAATGAAAATAAATTAACCTCTTTTGTTAACTTTACCAAACGTAGTAAATGGATTGGAAAAAAGAAAATAAACGAATTATTTGCAGTGAAAATAGAAAAAATGCTTTTAAAACCTATTTCTCATATTTTAAAGAGAACAGGTTTTTTTTGCGACAATACAGTTGAGTGTTGAACATCATCTATCGAAAATCCAAAGGTGTAAGAAATTGACTTTTTGAAGTAAATTTGAAAAAAAATAATGCTAATTTAAAGAAAAAGTAATGCTTCGTTTATCTTAAATATGATATTGAAAGCTAGCTTTCGCCTTTTGTCATCGTTATTTTAATTCATCAATCAATAGAAAAGGTAATAAAAATAATATACTAAAGGTAATGGACTATAAATTATTGCAATTATTGAAAAATGTCATCTTACAATGACGCATATGACAGGGATAGTTCGATTTTTGGCACGAGATGAAACTGGTTGTTTGATAATTTGTAAGAGAGAAATAAAAATGAGAATCATCGAAGTAGGAAAAATATTCAGCCATATGAATTTATTTTTGTTTGGGAAAAAGTAAATTGAAAGAATGATCAATGAGTGAGAAAAAAAGAAAAACACAAGCATACAGAAACCTCCTTGTTCCTCCCACTGCTTTATTTCAAATTTAAATAATAACAAGTTCTTTTTTAAATGAATTTGAAAATTTTCAGATTCTAATAGTAGACTGCAAAGTCCTAGTGGAAGGAGATAAAGAAAATCAAGATAATTTATTTCACAAAAAGAACATATGAAAATGTAACAATATTTCATAACATCAAAGATGTTTTCAATTTTCTTGTTAAAATGAAATTCTTTAAAGTTTTCTATAATTCATATTTCACTTATTAAATTTATAATTTAAAATATTTCAAATTTCATATCTATATTAATCTATTTTCTATCAAATCGGAGATTTTGAAAGTGGACAATAAACTCTATCTATGTGGAAATTTGCTAGCATAATCGTTTATTGCCGTAAATACTTGGAATTATTCAAGTGAACTTATTAAATATGTAAAACAATAACTTGTTTTCACCTATTTCAATTTTCTCTTCTTGTTCTCGTTTCGATTTCCTGCTAGATTTATTTGAATTTAGGAAAAAATTCTGAAATCAATATTTGGTTTGAAAGAAAAAAAAAACTTCGTCATATCATCTTCTTATCTCCCTCTTAATATTGTCAGCAAAAGAGTTCTTATGTTTTATAAATTTCCCATTATGTAATGATACCACCAATGATTCTTTTAAATATAATCTGAAAATCCAAAGCTCATAATAAATACATGAAATTATCTTCAATGATAATTTTAACCAATTTCTTCCTGATAAATACTACAATTTTGTAAACTAATTATGTAGCATATTTTTTCAGTTTTGTGCTAGTTATCTATCAATTAAGCTTACAAAAGAACAATATATTACTATATTAAATCATATATCACATAAAAATCATATATCATATCATATCATAAATCATATATCATATAATGGCATAAATGATACATAAAATGTCGGAAAATCCGAAAACTTATGATATTAAATTAATCACATCAGTTGAGATTTGTAACACTAACAGTAAAATTTAAGAA